CCGAATCTGTGGACTATTGTCCATGATATGTTGGTTGGTATACATACATACAGATCATGCACATAGCGGGTAATATTATGTTATAAATCATACAAGGTATGACATTGTACCAACGTGTCATGACAGCTCCGCACACACCGAACCAATGTATTTAGCGACCGGGGCGGTCTTCCAGGAAGGTGATAAAATACCCTGGGATAATATAGCGTCGTATATACCGACTAAAGGAGCTTAGTAGGATAATCTTTGGGCTCTGTTCTTTTGGTAGTGTTTCCCGTGAGTCTCACTCAAGGCTTCTCTCTCCCTTGCACCTATTCCCCAAGTCCCGACCAGTCAAGGAAAGGAAGAATGAAGTTTCGTTGAGTCGAGAATGACGACACAAAGGAGATGAATAATATTTTGACTTTTCAGCGAGGAAAAACACATGGCAACCACGGTGGAATGATCGCCGCTAAGAAAAACTTGGTTTGTCACTCAAGGTTCTGGACTATCCGTCGGTGTTCACTGGTCCAGCCACTGAGCAAGCCAAGAATCCAGAAGAAAGGGTGCGTGGTTCTAAGACTAGTCAAGTGTCTTGCTTACTTGAGTAGTATATTCTTCTCGAGCCACAGAAGAATAAAAAACGCAAAAGAAATGGTGGAAGAATGAAACAATACTCATGCAACCATCGACCTCTTGATACATCAAAATGAGTTATTCTTTCTTTCTTTTCTTTTCTTGATCTTCTCTTGGAGCATCCTAGACTTCATCTCTTGAGAAGATGGAACGCAAACACGTGCTCCATGTCAGGAGGCGCCAATAGCATAATGAAGCCAACAGCTGCATTCATACAGTATCATCACCCCGCTCAGGTGGAATGTGACCATCGACATGCATGCATACATGCATATACACATGTGGGCACTGTGCAGATAGTAGGAGAGTGCATCGTTGAACTGGGGCATGATCTACTACTTTCCCCATCCCTCCTTCCTGCCCTTACCTGCCAAGGTTCAATGGGAATCAGCACTACTAAACGGGGTATAGGAGTATTCACTACTTTGGATTCCCTCCCAAACCCAAGTAGCCAAGCCGTTGTCATATCCACCATGATAGATGATCGCCAGGCTAGTCCCATCCCTTCCTGTCCACATGGAGCTGGAAATGTCTAAATGATGTGGCGTCTCCCAGTGGGATTGGTGCTTCACCGACTACTGGCGTAGCCACTGTTAGACAGGTGTTACTTCCCAATAGCGCCCTTACTCATGTCTCTGCGGAGCTTTGGAAGCGCATTCTGATTCATTGACACAAGGTGTCAGACAATGAAACAAGATTCCAGATTATGTAAGAAACATGATCAATGGAAGAACAAATGCACAGTCATCCGCTAGTCAGACAATCTGTGCCTGATAAGTCTGACATCCCGTTATCTCAGCCCTTTTTTTTTTGTCTGGGCGTGTATCGTTTCAAAGGACGATCACCTTCTGTATTTCTCTTGTCGGCAACAGTCCCGAAATCCTAGCCTTCCTGGTTTATTTTATTTTATTTTTCCTTATTTCTTTTTCCTTTCTGTTTAACTTGGTTCTCATTTGGAATTCAATTATTGTTCCTTTTCTTTTGCTCACTAAAAGTTAAAAGTCCACATAGTTGAGAAAAGGCCGGCCGGTGCTAAAGGACTGCAGATCTGACAACTTACAAGCCCCCCCCCAAGTTAGCGCAGGCAGCCAGCCCACCAAATCAGATCCCCCACTCAGACGCCATGGTGGTACGAGGTACAGAACATTCCCACGGAGTGTTTTGTACCATTCGACTAACTACAAGGGGTACCAAAACCTGGGCTAATTCCTGCACCATCTTCGCCTCGAAAATCTGTCCTGTAACCCCGAGTCAGCAAGTAATTGGGCAAGCATGTCAGGGTGACACGGCGCCATCATCCACCATGCCAGAGGAAGGCCCGTGTTCCTTGTGCGACAATAATTCCCCCCTCCCTTATCGTCTCTCCCGCGTGCTCCTCAGAATACCTTTTCCCCGTTTGGTGTCGATGGACCGTTAGAATTAGTCCTGGATGAGATAGAGATAGATCACCCAATGAAGATAGATATAGACGCATGCAATGACCCACACGAGGCGTGCCTCAAGTTCAGGAGGTTTTCTTTTTTCCTGAGTGACCCCCTGTAGCACTCTCTTGGACCGATTACGACTATCGAGCAACAATAATGCCGGCGAGGGGAAAAGTCTCGACCTTGGCGGCTTTGAGCGGGGTGGGATTTCATCGGGATCAACTTCATCTGAGCGAAACTATAATTGGCTAATCAATCACACCATGGTGAAGTCCGTTATGGGGCTGCAGACCTGATGTGTGTGACAAGACAGGGATATCGGGACGAGTTAATATCCCAATTATTGATCCTCCGGGGATGGACAATGAGAACGAGGTCTGCTCTTCCCTCTGCGCCCAAGGGGGTGGGGGCAAGGTCCCCTGTCTAACGCTATGTTCCTGACACGCTAATTGGGTACCACCTATGCCTTGTCATCTACTTTAATATGGTGATGAATCGTGGTGCATCAACGACCTGCCTGTTTTGGTATAGGTCCACTTTTAAGGCTTGCACATGGGATACCACGGCGACAGGTGGTCAATATTTGCCGAGCTTGAAGTCGTGCTGAGCCTGCATCGCTAGTTGCGATAAATACTCCGTTAGCGCTTTGCTCCCTGTCATGGAGCGCAATCTCATAGACTCTGATTGTCGGTTTTTCCACTACTGAGGCGGCGGGATGAGACTTTGGTTAGATTGGTCGCTCAGAGGGAGGGGGGGACTGGAGAAGTAAAAAAAAATTGCATTGGCCCTGACAAGAGGTCTGAGTCTAGATGCGTGAACGCCTATACTGAGATTACGCCGTGCCAAGAGATGGGCAAAAAGAGATGATATGAGGTCGTGCCCGGGATCGAACCGGGATTACAGGAATCAGAATCCTGGGTGCTAACCATTACACTACACAACCATTTGTTGTTGCAGCTGTTAATTTTTGGCTCTATGACTCAGAATCTATAGTCCTGAGTGGTAAAGAAAAGGAAAAAGAAATGAGAGGTCGTGCCCGGGATCGAACCGGGATTACAGGAATCAGAATCCTGGGTGCTAACCATTACACTACACAACCGTTGTTGTGTGCTGCGGCTCACATTTTGGCTTTTAGAGCTAAAACTATATTTGAGATAAAAGTGGCTCACACCACTGTTCAATGCACAATTGTTACATCGCTAATATACACCAGGATCCTTTCTTTTCTAGCCTGGTGGTATGGTTTGACAGGTTGCGGGGTAGAGCTTCGTGCAACAGACTCCGGTAGCGTAGCGCATGGCTGGACTCCTACTCGGTACTTGACTCGGCCATTCCAAGCTCTATATCTCCGATCTCTGTGTATATACTCCGTACTACACGGGCAGATATTGTATATACACTGGTGGCCATCCATGGTAGGTGATCAACATGTCGGGGAGAACACTGGCAGATGATAAAGGACGGTTACCAGCCAACTTATGATCGACGACTATAGTCAAAGGTGGGACGCTACCCTTGTGCATCGTCCACCGCCCAAGGCGCTTACCAGCCGTCCTTGTGTGAGCGGGATAGATGTTTGTCCAGCCAATTTACGGGTATACTACCAGCACATCGTGTATGCGTAATATCATATTTAGGTGGCGAGTATGAAACCTTGCGGTCTACATCTGAGTTGGGGGTTACGTTATTGGTTTCAATTACTGGAGCCTCTTCCAACTTTTCCATGACATCTTCATCCTGACCTGGGTAGGAAAACAACATGGCTGGCTGGGGCTTTCCAACTGCCATTCAGGGGCTGCAACATTTTATTTGCTGGCCACGGCTGAAGTATCAAGGCCATATCCAAGTCTAGCATGGTAGATCTGCAGGCTATATAGCGCTACGGTACACAGGTAAGCACCACCGCCTGATAGCTCTCAAATAGTCACCAGGCTGGGCCATGCCTGTCTACTAGTCAAATGTCCTCACCGTCTAGGGTTTGCCTATTCGGCAAGCTGACTCCTTTCTGTCTATGGTCAGTTAGAGGATCTAAACGTCTTGTCCAACGGGACGCCACGCGGAGTCAGTGCGCCCTCGTCCACTATGTGATTCCTCACATTCATGTACGTACCAGCCTTGGCAACATTTCACTGGTTTTCTCTGATGGGATATCCCGGTATTTACTTCCGATAGCCAGGGGCATAGGCTCTGCTCACATTAAGCAAAACTCTGGTACAGAAGTCCCTTCCCTATGTGTTACGGCCTTGGCCCGCCTGGACCCGGGGCTGGGAGATGCATCAGATAACGACATCTTAGTGTCGATATTCTTCAAGTTGTTAACTGTGACTTTGGCTGTTTCATGGTTCGTGGTCGGGTAACCTCGGAAATCTTCCCCATCCTATACTTCGTACCATTGATGTGATGCTCCCATTTTGTCATTTTATCGTTAGGCAATAAGACGCGGCCGTGGCTCTCAACTTGTCCTCTTGACTGTGTAGAGGATTTTGACCCACAGATGCAAGTTACTCCGTACTAGTATACTGTTTATTTCACAATTACCTGTCTTTGTGGTTCAGCCATTGAACCGGGGGGTGGGAGCGTCATAGGGTATATTTTGTAAAATGTATATGTCTTAAGTTTGGATGTATATATGTTGCTCGGGTATCATTTGATGCGCCCAGGCACTGGGGCCTGGGTCGGGGATGTATATATTTTGGGATGGAGCAGGACCAACCAAGAAAAACGTGCAGGAAAGATCAACCAATACACATCCGGAACGCTTGTATGTATGCCATAGTGTTATGTAAAGTAGACCTGGATATGCTAAGCATATCAATATAGCCTTCAACTTAACCATACCTATTCCGATTATAGTTATATGCCGTATGCTAATTAATCCGAACATTGTTACTTTGTCCATGATATTTCTATGTATACAAATATTTTATTTAACAAAATGAGTAGCCGTTTTTCAATAACTACGGTTGTATAGTGTAATGGTTAGCACATGAGATTCTGATTCTCATAATCCCGGTTCGATCCCGGGTACGACCTCGCAGTTTCTTTTTGCAATCTAGACCAATTGATCTGGGTGTCCGTTTTGTGATATTTTCCTCCCTTGACCATTACGTAACGTGGTTCAGTCTTTTCTTTTTAGGGTACTTGGTGAGATGTGCCCATTATCAATGACAATGCTCGACTGGACGCGCTATTATTTAGCGTACTGTTTGCGGAGTACTTGAGGTTGATGGCCCTATGTTTAGCATGGTTATTCGCTATCATACCGTTGCTTTAGCTGGCGGCCTATGTGTTTACCGTCCAATTCAGTCCAGTGGGGGGGTATTTTCCCCGTTTAGTGTATAGTATAGATGATTGACATAGCTAGGTCTTAACCAGCATGTCCATATGCCACAGTGGAAGTATATCTGCTTGAAAGTATATAATATTTGAAATATCAAAGATCAACCACACTCCTTGTGGAAAGTATACCTTTTATATGATCATATTCAGGGCTATGCTGTGATGGATTTCTGGATGTGCCTTTCTACTAGTGCTGAAGCGGGTGGTCTAACTGGCGCTTTCCCGTTCATGTCCGATCTGGAGTGTTTGTAGTAGGTGAAACTGGCTAGGGAATTCAATGATGCTCTGCTACTGGCAGTACGTCAGCCACAGTTTGATACATTGCAACATACGTCTAGGGTTGGGTTGTAAGCATTCTATGTTAGTGAGATCTAGCCGAAGACGGGATACGCGATACCTGGACATTATGACATATTGGGTGATTCTATGTTCGTGGTCAGGCAGCATGGTTCTAGTGCAAGGATCTTAGCTGTTGCGTTGTGTGATTCTATTCTTCTATATACTCAAAGTTCACAGCTGTAGATGTTGTTTAAGAAGCTCTGTCGTAGCATTGGGTGTCTCCGTGTGTATTATTGGATAGGAAGCTTGCAGGTAGAGTTGCGTTGCAGCGTTGTTGGCATAGATGAGACCGGCAGAAGGGCCTTGGGGCAATTATGCTGTGGAATTCTGCATTCCAACTCTACAGGGTAGAACAAATTCAACGAGGGAGGATCTAAAAAAGAGGTTGTTCTTCGTAGGTTGTAGAAGGTGGAATAAAGACAAAAAAGGAATTGGTCAAACCCGGAGTCGAACCGGGACTACTAGAATCGAAATCTTATGTGCTATCCATTACACTATTCGACCGTTGGTTGTTATGAATAATCTCAAAACTTACGAGGTTATATCAAGGTAAAGACTTTGAAATTCTACCAAACATGTTGATGTTGGCATGGGGTGACTGTTTTGTTGACCATGGCGTCAAAGATGCAACAAAAATGAGCTATGGTGAGTATACTACTTCTATGCGAAGCCAGATTCGTAATTTCGTAAATGAAAGGGTCAATAAAAGTCCACTGTAAAGTTTCTCTCAGACCTAAGCCTGAAGTCAATGCATACTTACATCCATTGATACACAGCTAAATTAGGGTTAAGTGGGGTGTTTCACATCCTAGGTTCGTGTAACTTACAGGTCGGGGTTGTAATGACCTGGATACTGGGTAGGTTTATTGCAAAACAGTCTAAGCGTGTAATTAATTAGGTCTGTACGACACGAAGGGGGATATGTTGCCACCTGCTCGTTAATTGAGTTGGTATGGGAGGAGGTTTATGCATATGGTCTATCATTGTGGCTGTGTGCATTTAGGTAGCCCGTTGTTAAGCCATTTAAGCGCCTGCTCTGTTTTCTAGTTGGGATACAGATATTGCCACTGAAGATCATCATGCACTGACTAGGACAGTGAGTTCGTAGTAGGCAGCAATAATTTGATTACTGCAAGAGTGAACCATTCAATCTATTTTTGTCATTTGGGTGGTGCCCAATGCTTGGTTCGTGAGAATAGTAAAAGTCATTGTATATACAAACGGACAAATGAGATTAGCCAAAATATAACATTTTATTCCTCGTCAGCTTCCATCTCATCGTCCTCATCCTCATCCTCATCCTCACCCTCGTCTTCGTCATCATCATTAAACTCCACACCCATCTCGCCGGTGATATCCCACCGGTCTCCCTTGGCGGCAGCGCTGACGTACTTGACAAACTTGAGGGTGCCGCTGTCGCGCAGAACAATGCTCAGCCGGTTCCAGCCAGCAGCAGTGCTGAATAGGATGCCGTCATCTTCGTCCGCGGCGGCAGAGCGGTAGATGGCTGCATCACCCTCCTCTTCGTCGTCCCCAGCCATGTAGATCTCATAACCACCCACGGCGGGTTCCTCAGCGTCACTCTTAGGCTCCTTCTCCTTGGGATCGGCCTTCGGCTTCTTCTCGGACTCGCCGTTCTCACCCTCTTCATCATCTTCCTCCTCCTCTTCCTCGTCAGCCTCCTTCTCCCATCCTGGAGTAGGGGTCAAGGAGAGCGTAAACTCCAAGCGAGGCTCTTCCCCGTCGTAGCCGCTGGCCAGAGTGTAGTCCTGTCCGCGGCGGAAGCGGCGTGCCATAAAGTCGTAGCTTGTGAGGCGTTCCGCGCCGGTAATGGCGGCGAGCCATTTGCGGAATGCGGGGGAGGGAAAGACGTCGTTGAGCAACTCCTGAAAGGGGCTCTTCTCGTCCTGTGCAGCCGTCGAATGCTGCAGGAACATGTAGCGCTGCTTGTGAGGGGGACGGGCGACAGTCCATCCGGTCTGTGCCTGGATCTCATCTGATGATTGGGGAAGGGTCTTCTTCTCCTGCTCCTCGATATATTCCCGCACGCGGGCAGAGAATTTCTCTGACAGGAACTGTTCCAAGTTAAGCGATGACTCGTTGGTGAAGGTCTCCGACATCTCCTCCGCAATGTCTGGGGTGAGATAGGATGGTGCGATGTACTGGATCAAGAAATTGAGATCGTCCTCAGTAAATTCGGTGTCGTTGGGTTGCTCCTCCACCTTGCCTTTGCCCTTGCCCTCAACCTCCTGCGACTCATTCTCGCACACGACCGGCTTGGGCTGGGGGAGGTCGTAGATGTCACCGCGTCCCTGAAGCTGAGCGAGACTGCTCCGCTCGGCAAGCTTCTCCTCTAGGCCCTCCTCATAGCCGTCTTCTCCCTTCTGGGGAATATGGAACCATCCACTGATGGCCATACGCACCCGCTTCTTTGACCTGTCCTCGCCCTCTTTGAAATGGTAAACCTCCTCGACGTCATGGAAACTCTCACCAGGCTGAACGGTGAAGAAGCTCAGCTGGTTGAAGGCGGGCGGGATGCTGAGACTGAAATCGGGGCTGGGAATCTTGACGTCCTCGCCCTGCGCATCCTTCTTCGTAGTCGTGGGGTACAGGCGCAGTGCACCACCCCATTCCGCCTGCCAGGGGGTGTCCGGATCAGTCAGATACAAGATGTAGCTGACACGTCTGCTTCCAATGACATCGTCATGGCACAGAAGATGGCATCCCTCGTTGTAGATGTTGATAGCCATATCAGTCTTGCGACCACTCAGCTTGCCCGAGCCAGTCACGGACGACAGGTACTCACGAAAGCGGGCGGAGTACATGGCATCACGAAGCTTCAGCAGGGAGGGGAGTCGCGACAGGGATGCGTCGTCCAGCCCGTCCAGGTTCGCCAGATCTCCGGACTGAAAGATCTTGTAAATGTCCGTCTCTTTCTCGGTGAAGTCTAAGTTCTCTTGGATTTCGTTGCGGACCGCGCGCAGCAAGGAAGGCTCGATTAGGGGATGGATGACTCCATGCTTGTACCTTGATTGATAATCAGCATTCTACACATGTGGATTCTTTTCTCCGGTGTGTGGTTGTGAAAACTCAGGTGTCGACGTACGGTGCGGACTCGGCGTATTGATCGGTATACTTCTGCTGCTCCGAGGGTTCAAAGAGGCCATCGCGGAAGCGCGCAGCGGCTTCTTCGCTCGTCAATGCCCGTCTCTTAGAATCAGGCTGGTCACTGCCACCCAGCGATTCTCTTCCTTCGGTCTTGCGCTTCATATTGTTCGTGATGTGAGGAAATTGCGAAGAGGGGAAGACGGAGAGATTGCCGGCCTGATTCGGTTTGGGGAGGTCTTTTTTTTCTTCTTTCCTTTTTTTGGGCGGTGAGAGGTTCAAAGGCAGCGATCAGGCCACAAATCAGGCCATTGTCGAGAGTCAAATTAATTACTTGATATAGTTTGGTGATTTTTCTTTAACTATACATAAAAATTAATAATAATATTGAGCACTTTTCGTTCTTCTGTTAAAGTTTCTAGCGAGTTGATCTTATTTTTTTGTAGTATCAATAATGCTCATGCTAATGTGTCTCAACTATTACTGATCTTTTTACATGTATAGAATTTAATAGAAGATACCTCTAGGTTAGTAATTACTAGAAGAATTACTAAAAATAACTATCGACTTAGAATAAAAGATGTATCGCATCGAAATGTGTGCCTGGAAAGTTGAGGGGTTGAGTTTTGACCAAGAGAAGAAATAAAGTGTGCATTTAGGACGTCATCAGCCGATGAGCATAAACAACATCAATCAATCGATTGATCAATCGATCATCCACCACCGCCACAACAACAACCCGGCCACGCGATCATCATCTTCATTCCAGAAAATAAAACAGAAAAACCCTAATCTTAGCGTCCGACATCCACATGGACAATTCAGGCGCCATGCAGCCCACTCAGGACAATGAAAGCAATCCGAATGATCGACCAGGGACTCCACCGCGCCCGCCTTATTCCCCAGTAACTCCGGTCTTCGCTCATCTTGCCCCAGTCCAGAACGCCTCCACGTCCAACGGTGCGCCATCACATCCCATTATTCCCCCGGCCTCGTCGCCGTCGCCAACAAGTCGCACGGGCGGTGCAACAGCCTCGCTTCCTACGACACCGGCCGTCTTCGCGCCGGAGCCTGTTGCCGTGCCGATCTCGGAAAGCGAGAACCCCGATGCGATCGCGTTGCGGTCCACCATCTCGATTCTACAGCTTCAGAAGCAGCAGAGCCTGCGCGATATACGGACACTGGAGAGGCTGAAGCAAGCGGCGGCTGCCGACCCCGAGGGGTTTGCGCGCGAACTGGCGGCGGGGAATCTGACGGCGAAGGACCCGGGAGGTTTCGTGAATTTCACGCATGATGAGGAGGACGAGGATGATGAGATGAGGGACTCGAAGGAAGGAGGCGCGTCGGGTCTGGGGACCATACCTACGCCACAGAACGTGGTACGCATGCCACCGATCAACTGGAACAAGTATCAGATCGTAGGTGAGCCACTGGACAGGATGCACGAGGATCAACGACGACGTCCGTCTCCCGGAGGGCTTAGACGAGAGGAACCTGCGCAGCGGGCACCGGAGCATGTTCTTGCATCACCGTACCGACCGCTAGTAGATAAACTAGAGAGCCCGGACAAAGTAAAGGGAGCCAGCAGGAACAAGAAAACATAAAGAGATTGGAGAAGAGAATTTGTGATTGGGGAAGCTAGACTCTATGGTACGGTTTCATTTGAAACGGTTTCACTCTGAGCAATAACAACGGTAGCGTTCATTCATCATGTCTCGTTTACATGGAAGAAAGATAAGCAAGAAGACAATGATGTATGCCTGCTGGTCTGTTACAAGTCGCTCTGCGAACGCCAAACTAAGTTAGGGGGGTTTTTTGGTTAGCAGGGCCAAAGAAAGCAATGACAGCATACCACAGCCGGCCGTGAAGGATGAGAGAATAGATCTACGACAGAGTCTTTCTAAACTCCTCCATGTCGGCGATGGTCTTCAGGAGTCTATCGTGCGCCAGGCTAACCCTGTTGTACACTACCCTCGCATCCTCCAGTTCTTCTTCAACGGTACGATCCTCGGGAGCCGGCAAGTTTGGAGCCGGGGCTGTTGCCTGATATCTGGGTGCATCGAACTGGGCCTCTGCCTGACGAGCTCTACCGTGCGACTGACGTACTGACTTCTTTATGAGGTCGTCGCGGTTCTCTGACTTCGCCCTAATTCGCTCCATGGCCGCCTTTCTGAGTTCTTGCGCTGTGACCCACGTCTGGGCTTTGTGGCAGTCTGGCTTAACCTTCTTAAGTATGTCTGCGACGGCGTCATCGGAGAGGGGAGCTCCTGCAACGGTTTCTCTTTCAGCAGTTGGGGGGCTCTGTGAGGTCGATCAGAGAAGGATACAGATATAGATATGGGAGGTTGGTCCTTACTGCATCAACGCGAGCTCTGATCGCATGGGTCAAAGTGGAATCG